ATTCAAAAGGCATTTGGATGTTTATCTTGTTGGGATCATCTGATCCCTGCAGACTTCCTGCCGCTGGCAGGCAGGGCTGGACTTGATGATTTCGCAAGGTCCCTTTCAGCCCCTAACGTCTATGAAATTTATGAAATCTATGAAATTAGGTCACATTCTGAGCTCCCTTATTTAGAGACTGGCATACGCCCATTAGCACAAGGCTTCATATCTTTTTATGGTCTCTTCCTTACTGCCATAATCAGCCGGAAACATTAGATCAGTGTTAGAAATGCCTGTGCTGCCTGCGTGAGAGCTCACCCTTTGGTAGCACTGGTGCAGCTGCAGGGCAGCTTAAAAAGCCTGCAGAATTGCCTCACATAGGTGCACCCTTACACGGACAACACTGGATAACTCTGGAGTGTTGTGGCCCTGCTGAGAGAGAAATGCTCCTTGGCAGCTGTGGGAACACCCTGTGTGTGAGGTAGCTGTCAGCAGACTGGGATGTATTTGTCTTGAAATTTTATTTATTTTGCAGAAAGCAAACAAAAAGAAACAGGAGGTGGCATGGTCTGGTTGGGGAGGTGAAAATGTAGAAGAATAAAGCCTATTTAAAGGTGATCAGGAAATTGAAATGAGAGCGAGACCCATGCTGCCTTTTCATTACTAATAGGGCTGTAGTGTGCTAAGACCCTGATTCTTTTGCTGCCTCTCTGTTAACAGACCATGGGCCTACCTGGAGCCTATTACAGGAACATGTCTATAAGTGAAATGACACCAGCACAAAATCAAACTCTCTTTAACCATTAGGATGCAGCATGCATTATGCTGATGGAGATGAAGCAGTTTTTCTGTTCTGTGTGACTTTGAATTTTCCCATCCCAGTGAAACTTTGCTCAGTTTTGCCGCCTTGCACCGTAGCACAGCATCACACTCTTGTGCTGTCAATGCTGTGGGAGGACACAAAGCTCGAAGTTGTATTGTCTGAATATTCAGATGTCAGTGTGACGTCGACCCCATGACCACTTTGATTCAGTTACTAGATGATGGCCCCACAGTAACATATAAAGGGGGAGAAATATTCTTGACTGCTATCTACTCAGAAGTTGCTGATGCTGGGGAATGACTTACAGGAGCTCTCTGAGGCCCCAGCAAACTTGCCCATCTCATAGCCTCTCTTGTGCTTTAAAGATGGCTGGGTGCCTCTTGGGGTATCCCCCCTTGTGTGAGGGCTGCTTCATGCCCCTCTCCTTAGAAGTTTTTCCCTTCCCCTTTCTCCCAGTAGGCCAGCAGCTGCACTTGGGCCTGTGTGAAGTCACTCCTTTGTTTGCTCTAGCATCTCCTCTTACTGATTTTTATCTCCATGCTTGCTCCATAACTGCCACGTTGCCAGGATGCTTGCAGGGTAAAAGTGGTGTGACGGACTTGCACTCTTTGGCTGTCTGAATTGTTACAATTGGCTTTTAATGCAACATCCCACAAGATGAGGTAAGGACTTTGTATAATCATGTGCATGCATGGTAGCTGGCTGTGGTGAAAGAACAGAAAAGGTTTTTGTTTCTAGTTGCTCTGCCACCAACAGGTGGTATGGACCTGGGCATATCATTTAGCCTGTGCTTATTCCCACATAGACTCATAGAAAATTAAGGGTGGAAGGGACCTCAGGAGGTCATCCATTCCAGCCCCCTGCTCAAAGCAGGACCATTCCCAACTAGATCATCCCAGGCATGGCTTTGTAATACACATCTGAAATACAAGACTACTTCTATACCCTGCTGTAGCTTTTAAGCTTAACTAATTGATGCTTCTGCTGAGTGGATGCATGGAATGGCAGCATATTTCTATTAATTCTAGCTGGTGATTAATAGCAGATTCATCACAGTACAAATTTAAAAGTGGAACTTGTGGTTGAGGGAGGAAGCTTTAGTCTCCTTTCTCATACTCTCTCAAGGAAAGATCTTGTGCCTTACTTTAAAAAAAATCATGAATAGCTGTATGCGACTAACTGTAAACACAGCCCACAGAAAAAAAACATAGACTAGCAGGATGTCACAGGCTTCACCAGGCTTGTCACTTACGGGCAGAGACGCTTCAGAGGAAGGCCCTGTGGTTTCATGTGCATGTCTGTTTCTAGGCACTACTCCTATGTATTCAAGTTCACCAAAGTCTGCAGGAAGGTCCTTTTTAGTGAGTTAGCTCTTTCTCTTCCTTGTTTAGACTTGCAGTGACACTGGACTACTTGTGCAACAACATTGTTGACAAGATTGGCTAGGTCTAGTACTCCATTGTGAAATCAGTTTGCTGTATGTGCTTCTCTTACCAAACACACAAACCTGATGAATATATATAACTCAAGGAGAAGACTAGGCTACTGAGGTGGGTACCTAAATATAATGATTATATAGACCCACATTCATGGGCTTCCCTAACAACTGTGTAAAATACAAACAAGAGCCAAGATTTTTAAGAAACGGAAGTTGGGTACGGAAATAAGCGTTTGGGGGGGAGTGCAGAGTGGTCTCTGCTTCTCCTGACCTTCATGCCAGCTGCTGGGCTCTCAGCAGGTTTTGAGAATTGGCCCACTTAATGTAGGGGCCTACATTAAAGTACCGATTTCTAAAAACAAACAACTGAAAAACCAAACTGTGGCCAAGTTGGCCTCGGCTCAGTGTACAAATCCTGCTGCTGGAACTAGACTGCTCCCGTTGTGTGGACACTGTTATGCCTGAATACTTTACTCCTGAATGGGAAGGTGAATAAGCTGTGTCATTATTTCAGTAATGAATTGCTTCCCTAACCAACACAGTTATAGTGTATAGGTGAGGCCTAAAACAATATATGATTGATCTGCTCCCCTTTGAAAGAGTTTAGGATAGATTTGCCTGGTTGTAATTTGTTCTGTATGCATAGATCATAATTTACCATGAAATGATGATTCCTTAGTCTTGTGTGTTCCAGAATCAGGCTTCCCAGGCATCTTTTCCTTGAGCAGTAGTTAACCTCCTTTTGGCTGGGGTTGGATAGGTTACAGGCAGCCAGTCATTTATTTAATCTTTCAATAAATGTACCCGTCTTGTACTTGTTGAAGTGATTATGGCACTGTTGCTATAATCCAGGCTCTATTCCACTGTGGTATTCTGTGGAAGTTGTTGATTTGGATGTTGGCTTAAAGACTTCTGTCTGATGAGTCCTTCCACATGTAACTTGAGGAAGATGATGGGCTTCCAAAAACTTAGGAGTATAACAGAGTCTCCACACCCATACCTTGTATGTGAGTGGGAAACTTAGCGTTCTTGTGAGGGGTGGCAAATATTTCCAGCCTAATGGTTGGGAGACTGAAGACTACATGTTCTAGGCCTTGGATAAGGGAAAAAGATGGAAAGCTGTAGTTAAAATAAATATATAAAATACCACCAGTCAGTTTGTTCAGAGGCTTTGCCAAAGAGGAATTAATGGATTTAAGCACAGGTGAAACACTCAAAGGGGATGAAGGTTGCTAGCCATTGTCCTGCAGGATTGCTGTGTGTGTAATGTGCATGTATTGTACATATGGGGTTTGGGTTTTTTTGGTAACCAGTTGTGCTCTTCCCCAGTAAGGATGACTGGAGTTTTAGTTCATCCTTTGAAATGTGCATGTAGGCTCCATATTAGTTATAATACTTTCATTTCTGCTGTAAATATGCATATCGAGTTCTGGTTTGCCCCCTTTCAAATCTTTGTGGGCTGGTAAAAGGAGGGAGGATCTTCTTACTCTCCTTGGAAATTTGCCTTCTTGTAGGATTCTGGTCCTTCTGAAAACTGAGGCTTACTCACGGTGGCAAGTTGGACTTATTATCAGATACTGGCTGTTTTGTTTTTCCATCTTTTGTACTCGCGCTACCAGGGCTGGGGAAGAAGCACATTTCTTTTAAAAGGGACAGTGTATTGAATTGCAGATCAGATTTGAGCAGAATGTTTTGGTGCTGAAGAGAGATGTAACCTTTTTTTCCCCTTCGGTATTGCTGGGAAAGCATAGACATGAGCATGGCGTTACCTAACTACCTGCAGGGAATGTCTCTTGACAATATGTGAAGTGGCAATGTTACCCAAGGTGTTGTATAGGTTCTGAAATGACTCTGAAGCCCACACAAGATCTGGATGTTGCAGCATAGTAGATGTCTTGTGTAGGTGTTACATGGAGTATCATTGTGTTTAGGTCTGTTTAAGGATTTGGAGAGAACCATCTTGCTGTGCCAAAAACTTGCCTTTCAGAATATACTGTTTCCTGTGCACCAGTGATTCGCACCCAAGTGGTAAAAACTGACTGCAGTTTAAAAGCTGCTGCTTCATCTGCAGTAAGGTGTGGGGCTCCATTCCCACTGAGACTAAGGTTTTCGCCCTTCTTGCTCCACAGGTAACATGGTAGAATGGTGTTTGCCCCAGGATGTTGACCTGGAAGGTGTAGAGTTCAAATCCATGGCAAGTGGGTCCCACAGAATCCAGTCAGATTTTATGTGAGTATATGTGGGTTACACTACTCCCTCCCATCCCCTTTAGTACTCACACTCTCCTTCCTTAGTCCAAAGCATTAAAAATGAATGGTGCCCATAAACATAGACTCCAAATTACCTTGTTATCAAATTAAGGTTCTTGGAGCTGAAGCAGTTTGTATCCATAACATCAGAAGCCTGCATCTGTTCTCCTGTGCATGCTAATCTCTCTTCTGAAAAATTCTGAAATGTTACAATCGCTGAGTTGGCTGTCCATCGTGCTCAGTGAGAGCAAAGGTTGCTGGGGCTGCCAGCACATCATGGAGACCTTGCTCCCAGTCCATTTTGAGGCCATAATTAAAATGCCAAATGCCTGTGTACATCAGTACCTTCCACTTCTGCTATTACCTGGAGCATCTGATGAGGCTGAGGGGGTGGAGAACAGCATCTTCTATGCCCCCCTCCCCATTTTAAAGTTTCTTTGGCCCTTCTGAGTATCTGCTTGTGTATCCCTTGCCATATCTGTGCTTCTCTTCTCTTCCACTCCATTTCCATTGATTTTTTTGTTAAATGTTTGTCCCCAGTTATTTCCGGAAGGGGCTTTGCTTTGGCCTGGCCTGCTTTGCAAACATGCCTGTGGAGAGCGAGCTAGAGCGTGGTGCCCGCATGAAGTCTGTGGGGATTCTTTCCCCGTCATACACCCTGCTTTATAGATACATGCACTTTTTGGAGAATCAGGTCCGGTAAGTAAGTACTGTGTGGGATTTGGGATTGGCACGTGGGGTTGGCTGTCTTGGCACCTGCATGGATGGATGCTGCCGGGTGTCATTCAGAAGGTAATTGCCTCTTAATGTGTAATAAGGATATTGATATTTGCTATATTGCCAGATTATTATCTCTTCATGGGAAAGATAGAGATTGGGTGTTGCAGTATGGGATAGTGATGGAGGAAGGAAACTGAGCTGGTAATACAGAATGATTCATGGTTTAACACTTTATATTTTTCCTGTTTGCTACAGCATTGTTAGCCTTGAACAACTATGGGAACAAAATAATTGATTCCCCTCCCCTCCCAACACACACACTACCACCTTTAAAACAACACTACTAAATGTTCTTGAAAGATGCTTACAGCCAAGAGTAGGATTTTGATCTCGCCCTTGACAACTGACTCTGCTGTTTCTACACTGCAGTACTATGTGGTGGATCTAATCAAGGAGGACCTGTAGGAAAACACTGCCTCCTTTGAACTGGTTTTAAACCAGGATCATTCCTACCATATCTAATATCTAGATTCAGTGAGTAATTTACTTCACCCTGTCCCCAGTCTTTGGCTGCACTGACAGGCAGAGTTGCTGAGGGATACTAGTGCCAAGATCTGTGACACTCAAGCTTGTGCAGCAATGGCACTTGGGGATGATTCATTGCCTAGAAGACAAAGCTGGGAACAGGGGTGCTGGATGTGGAATCTATGGATATCATAAACCTCTTTCACTCTGTTTCCAGACACCAGTTAGAGATGCCAGGACATTACTCCCACCTAGAAGCGTTTTATGATGACAAGAAGGGGGTTCTCTCTGCTGGCAAGGGCAACCTCACTTCTCAGCAACCTGTCCACTGGCTGCCATCCATCCACAGATACATGTACCCAGAGATGAAGGTGAGGAGAGTGCCAACTGTCTTGCACAAACATGCTCCTGACTGGTGTGCATGTGGCTAATTGGAGGTTAACAGCGCTCTCTCCTGGGCAGCCTAATGGAGGTCTGCCTCCCACCATGGGCTGAGCCCTGAGTTGCATCAGGCCGGATATAACAGACAGCAGCTCTGCGCTGTTTGTGATGTGCTGATTTTCTCCCAGGAGTTTTGTGCATCTGGTGTGGTGGGTGGTGACAGGCTACATGTATCTGCGTGTAGCCACCATGTTTTCTGTCAGTGTTTAGCATCTTGCTGACCGCTCTTGTTGTCTCTGAGCTGTTCTCTCTCCCTACTCTCAGATCACACACCCGGCTGGCTGTATGTCTCAGTTCATTAAGTTCTTTGGCGAGCAGATCCTCATCCTCTGGAAGTTTGCCCTGCTTCGCAAGCGCATTTTGATATTCTCACCACCACCAGTGGGAGTTGTCTGCTATAGAGGTATAGTTCTGTGGCCAGAAATCCCCTGCCTCTGCCCTCATGGGCGGGTGACTGATACTATGCAGTTCCCCCAAACCATCAAAGCTACTCATAGACCAGCACCAGCTGAATCTTCTTGATTTCTGGGGTAGCTGAGGATGCTTTTTTCCAACCTTTATAGCCCAAAGTTGTGAACCCAAATCCTGTTTCCAGGTGGCAGCGCTAAACTTGACCTTCATTTCATTATCAAAGTCAGTTACGGAGAGGTGAGGCCTAAACAGTCCTGTAGGACTTTGTCAGAGTGGGTTTGAGCATGAGAACCTGTTATTCAGTGGGAGCATCAGTGACCATCCACCCTGGAGGAGGATGTTACATTTGGTTCTGCCTGGATGGGAGAGTTCCATGACTCTGGAGCTACTTCAGTGTCCATCAGATACCGTTAGGGTAATAATTCTTGCCAAAAGAGAAATCTTTAGGGATCAGTGAGAAAAATGGGCATGGTGAACCATAGCAAGAGGGAACACTGACATCTCATTATCCCTTTTTCTTGCCTGCAGTGTATTGCTGTTGTTGTCTTGCCAATGTCTCCCTGCCTGGTATTGGGGGAACTGTTCCAGAGTCCAAACCTTTCTTCTACGTGAATGTGGCGGACATAGAAATGTTGGAGACAGAAATGTCATATGTGGCCTGTAAGTATATGGAATCTTTCATTCCCCATGACAAGCGGCAATTTCTGGCACATCAAGAGAGGACTTTCTTAAATTTTTAACTTGAAGGAACTTGCACATAGTGAAGTGAAACTGTGTGCAATACAAAGGGAAGGGTTCTTAATGTTCAAGGAAGTAGTCATCTTGTGTTCTGGTCTCATCAGACAATTAAACAAGGACACCCTCCTGCAGGGAAAATGATACACTGGCACAAGAATCTTCTCTTCCTTCGGTCTTGGCAGGTACAACAGAAAAGATCTTTGAAGAGAAGCGTGATCTCTATGATGTCTATGTGGATAACCAAAATGTGAAGACGCACCGTGAGCACCTGCAACCACTGCTGAAGATTAACAGTGCTGATAAGGAGAAATACCGACGGCTTAATGACCAGAGGTAATGGGAGGACCTGCTCACAGGTTGTGAGGGAGGAGCAGTGTGCTGTGGGGAGGGGATCAACACAGTACTCTTTGTGTTGCCTTGTTCATTTGCCAAACTTCTTGCTTTCTTATTTTGGTTCACCTCTAAGTCCCCCTGTCACCAACATGGTGAGGGTTGTTGATTGTGCAACACTGGGCGTAGGGCCTCCAACCCATTGAATTGGGCACTGTATAAGTAAGCAGTAAGAGTTGCTCCCTGTCAGTCTGCACAGGCACCAAGAAGGGGAAGTGACTTGCCCAGAGCTGTGCAACATAGTAGTGGCAGAATTGGGAACAGAACTTGCAAGTCCTCGCTCCCAGTCCAGTGCTGTCAGCAGTAGACAACGCTGCCTTCTCACTACTGGGGACAAAGGCACTGGGTTTGGCACTGTTATCTCTAGTAAGTGGACAAGGGATTTTCTATCATGATCACTCCTGCTGTTGATGTATGTGTAACCTTCCCTTCTCCCAGGCAGATGTTGCTATATTCTCAGGAGGTGGATGAGGACTGCAGCTCCTGTGAAGAGGACCTCTTCATCTTGTGAGTTGCTGTGACTTTGTGGATTCTTTTAAAGTATGGTTTCACACTGACCATGCAGAAATAGTAGTGAGGTAAAAGTAGATGTCAAACAGTTTAATTATTGCCCTGGCTAGTAAGAAGTGCCTGGGCATTTCACTACAACTGCCCTGTATACCCCTCCTTGGACCTGAAAACCAAATTGGCCACTCTCCTTCTCATCACTTCTATTTCTGAGTGCAACACCCTTAGTTTGGCTTAAGCTTCTGTAGGTGCTTGGAGGGGATGAAGTTCTTAAAACACAGGCTGGAAATGGAAAATTATACCTTTTCTTAAAATTTCTTGGGTTCTTTTCAGCCTAGACTACCTGGCCATGCAGAGGTGGCTTGGTCAGGATGACAGCATGCTGTCTGCAGGGAGTAGCACTCTGATCCCTGGTTGGGGCATAATATTGTTTGTGATTCAGTGAGGCTGAAGCAAATTAAGTGATGCTTATGTGGTCTAGGAGATGGAGGAACTGTATCTGGGTGGAAGTGTGTGAGAAAACTGCAGAACTATTGAGGCAAGACCCTGGCTCCTGGAGTCCTTTACCATATGATGTTCTTGCTTCCACTCTGTGATATGAAAAGATCAATTGTGTAAGGGAAGACTGTGGTTTCCTGAGCGAGCTGCATTGCCCTGCAAGCAGCCCCACACAGAATAGTGGGAACCTTACCACTGGAATCTCTGAAAATTAGACCAAGGCATGAAGAGGATACATGGCAGGGATATGGCAGATGCACTGTCTCTGCATGGAGGTGCTTGCCAGGTCATTCATCTCCTGCTCTGTTCAGTGGTTGGTATGGAAGATAAGTAATAGCTAGAAACTGGAGGCTTAGGAACAGAAAATGGAGAACTCACTGGGGTCAGTGTAGTGGCTTCACCCAGTTTCCCTTGCTGTTCCCTCTGGGTCACCCTAAGGGGGTGTTAACAGATACTGCTGCTTTTATTCAGGGAGGAAATGCCTAGAATAAGTCAACTGGCCTGAAGCAATGCTCTTGAGTAAAAAGTTCAGTGCTGTTTCCCATTGTGGTAGGTACATCTCCAGCCCTGCAATGTTTTGGTGTCACACAGGAAGCTGGGGATTATGTTTTGTGAGTTGGGGATTATGTTTTGTGAGTTAAATACAGTTCTCCAAGCTCTGGGGGCTGCAGAAAGCCTCACTCTTGTGATTTCTTCAATCCTGTGCTGTTTTCTCTGTTGACTGTATCCTGCAGATTTTTCATGGAGCAGAACAATCGGATATTTCAGACGCTGATGGAGGTGTCAGCCAGCCAGGACAAGACCTTGACCGCTGACCATGCCCGGGGCATGGGTCTGGACCCCCAGGGGGACCGGAGCTTCCTAATGGACCTGCTAGAAGTGTATGGCATTGATGTGATGCTAGTCATCGATAACCCCTGCTGTACTTAGACTGAGGGTGGCAGAGACAGGGAGCAGAGATGGCTTTTTAAAGACTACAGGACATTGTGTAAGAGCATCACTGGAACTCACCACAGAGCCACTGGAAGGATCTCCTTTTATTTAATAACTTTATACAAGGAAGTATTTATAATTTTAAACAAAATGTGATTTTATTTTCCTTTTGCCAGAAGTGACTGCTCAAGGTTTTGTTTTGTTTTTCCTGGTATCTATAGGACCAGTGGCCTCTTCACCAACCCTCACAGTTGCCAGTGTGGACATCTGAGGGCTGGAAATTTCAGGAAAGCACTTTTTTGTGGGGACCAATGTGAAATGATGCATATTTGAGCCTTCAGGATTTGTCTTTGGAGCATACCTCCTCCAGGGGAGTATCCCACAGTCATAGCACAGGATCTGGTGCCCCAGTGTCTTCAGTCTTCTGTCCCACTGTGCTTCTTATTGGGGATGGGTCAGTTAATCATGCAGAATTACACTTCTTACCCCCTATCACCTGGCTGTTTCAGCAGCTGAGTTAGGCTAAAATGAGTCTCGCCAGCTGTGGCAAATGTCAGTGGTTAAGAGTATAGCTATGCTACAGGATCAAGTGATCATCTCAGAATCTGGGCTGGCAAAAGGGGGCAGGGATTCAAGTGCTGGACATAAAGAGGTGGAGTAATCTGGAGCTGACCCTTCCCATATGGCTGCAGGGAAGGGACAGTGTCTTTGCCTAAAGATTTACTTTAACTCCTTTGTGTTAGTTGCATGGATCCTGTTTTGGTTAAAAGTTTCAAACTGGACAGTCTCCTGCCAGCCCCGAATAGTGACCAATATCCCAAAGGCACCTGGCACTTACACTCTGCAGGGCAGGGCTGGCTTGTTTGAGGGAAGCTTGCCTCTGACTAGGGTAGTCAGTCCTTCACCCTCTAACAG